CTCCCACTCCCTCTCTTTTCCCTCTCCCTCTCCTGCTCCCTCTCCCTCTCCTGCTCCCTCTCCTCTCCTGCTCCCTCCCCTCCACCCTGCTCCCTCTCCCTCTCCCTGCTCCCTCTCCCTACTCCTCCTCCCTATCCCTCTCCTGCTCCCTCTCCCTATCCCTCTCCCTCCCCTCTCCCCTCCCTCTCCTCTCCCTCTCCCTCTCCCTCTCCCTCTCCCTCTCCCTCTCCTTCCCCCCACAAAATCACATTTGCCTCCTTTTCTTTCTTATCTTTCTCTTTTTTCAACCCCTCCTAGAAAAAGCACAAACCAAAGTACGGTTATCCAGTGTACCAAGAAGTTGTAGTTGAAGTACATTTGCAATATTTAATTACATACAAAAGAAATGGGTACAGTAATAATTGAGAAATTGAATTATTGCAATCATTAATGTAGCATTAAAGGATACATATATACATATATAAAAAATACTATGGGGTTCTAGTGTTTGCCTGTTGATGTATCAGTTTGGTAAGTGTCACTGGGTTTAAAGGGATGGCGTTCGTAGACGGCATAAAAGACCTTTGGGTAAGTGTGCGGTAGGTATGGTCGGCAGGTAATGGAGAGAAAATGACAAATATACTAGATTGATTTCCGATTGAATTGGATTTTTATTTTTAATTATCTTTTTTTTTTCACCTCATTAGTCTTTTCTTTATTTTCCTTTCATTGTTTATTCCAAAATAAAGTAAGAAGAGATACTCAGTTTTTGAATGTTTTTGGTGTCAGATTCTTTTTGTTTGGTTATAAATTGATTATTGGGTAAGTTGGGTAAGTATTCCAACGCCCTTCGGTGGAAAACACGGGAAACCCCCAACCATCACCTCTACTACCGGGCGCCCTAGATTATCCTAACACTAAAGGTATGCCCAGGTAACACAGTTTCTTTACATTTGATGTTCAATTAAATCAGAGAGTCACTTAAGATAGAAGTAAAAGAGAAAAAAATTCTATAAAGATAAGCCAAAATCCTTTTGTGATGAAAGCACTAGACTTGGGTTCCTGTGGAAAGCTTGCGTACAGTTTCAACTCCACTTTGCCATAGGAGGTGACACTCCTTGACCTTTTCCCTTTCACTGGTGAATCACCCTTGAACCTTACCTCTCCTTACTCCCTCAGCCATTCCCCTGCCCTTCTCTATCATACTGATATTTGTAGCCATTTTGTATCAAGATTGTAAGTTTTCATTTGTGGAGAATTTGACTGTGTCAGCAGTGTGTATCAGGTTGCATCCAGGGCCAAAGCCCAGGAACCAGAAAATGATGGCTGCGTCTACGAGGAGATGACGGCGATGGTCACAGGACTGGTCTCTTTGTTTCTTTAATTTGAATGATATCTGCCCTCTATGCAGATTGCTGTTACCTTATCTGAGCCATTATTATTTATGTCTTCTGTTTCCCTCGACAGCGGCATACAAACATGCTGATGGAAAGAAGATTGACAATCGCAGAGTGTTAGTAGATGTAGAGCGAGCTCGCACTGTGAAGGGATGGCTGCCACGTCGGTTAGGTAAGTCTAGACTTGACTGTATTAATTTTCTGGACTGCCACTTCCTTGAAAAAAAGGATTGGTAATATTTGATGAATTCTTTGCAACCATTCTGATAACAAATGACAAATGGGGAAATTAAAAATCTGAATATGATTTTAAATCTATAAAAAAGGAATATAGATATCATACACTAATTTTCCCTTTTTTCTGTTACTGCCATTGGGTGTAAACAGGTGAGTTACTTCTGTCTGAAGGTGTCATTGTTGTCATAGCCTTATTTTTTTTTAATGGAAGAAAATATGATGATTTATTTGCAACCATTCTGATATACAAATGGGGAAACCAAATTTCTGAATATGAATTTTGTAGTCATAAGACAAAAAAAAAGGAAAGTAACAAACACTAATAATCCTTTTTTCTGTTACTACAAATGGATGTAAACAGGTGAGTTCCTTGTGTCTGAAAAATTACTGGTATGATTTTGTTTGAATATGATTTAACACTATGCTTTTTATGTAATTGTGATTTGACACCTTTGTAGTGCTTTTGTTGATTAACCTTTGAATTGTCCCAGTTTGGTACAATGTGTTTTAACCCACTGCTAATAGGGCTGTTATTTATGAATATGCTATGCCCACTGAGTTTAGTTTATTAATTGTGTTTACTTGTAGATGGCTTCGCAAGTACTTTGTCACCGGAGAGTCAATTACTAGTCTTACCAGTTTTACTTGTGTACTCTTTTCCTTTTATATTTTGGTAACACTATTTAAAAAATTTATATTAACCCATTTACGACGGGTGTCCCACACATGAGACATCCAGAAAAAAATTGCTATGCGTCCTGCCAGTGTGATACTGTATCGGGAATTGTTCTCCGACTCCGACTTGAGGGCAGAGTCCGGGTCAGCCCCGCGCGCCAATTTTGTAGCCGCTTGGAAACTTTTGTTTTCGGCTTCAAAATATACCGGCATTAGTGGGTTGATATTAGTATTTAAAATTTTTATATTAATATTAATATTGTCAGTAATAAAACTAATAACAGCATTTATATTAACCCTTTGGATCCAGGGTTGTATTCATGAAAGGTCATAGACAGAAATTTGTCTTCAACTGAAGTCTTTGACTTTGAGATTTTGTCTGAATCCTTGTGAAAATTTCCTTAACACCTGACTTTTGTCTATGTTGACAACATTAATGCTATTTTACAGTTATTGAAGACACTGCGCATCACTATTGATATGGAAATCATTCATGCCACTTTTTTACTGATTGTCACACGATTATTGAGCTGTTTTCTCCACGATTGCTGCAGTTTCCTCATAGATAAATACAGATGGCAGTATGTGTTTTCTCAGCTGATGTAAGATAACAAATGTAGAGGGTACCATGGAAGCATAGAAAAGATACTGAATAGGTAATATTTTACTCATTATATACTTTTTCTTTTCTTTTCTTTTCTTTCTGAAAACTCAAGGAAAGGGGAAATTATGTGGTCATTTAAGCCTACTAATTGACTTCTTAGTTGCTGTGCACACACACAGAGCCATATAACACATTTCATAAAGTCCTCCAGTGAACATTGTGTGTTCCTGGCCTTAACAGATGAAATTGCTATAGTTGATGAAATTTTTTGAGTCTCAGCAATGTTATTTTTATCACATTGCTATGTCAGTTATTATTATAGGGTCTTTATATGTGTTATAACTTGAATATTTGTACTTTTTAGTATTAACTGAAATGTGGCATCAGTGTGAGTCAAAGATGAAATTGCTAAGGACAGTCTGAAATGGGTCATAGATAAATTCTTTGACAATTACGAAGTCAGAGACTTTTTCATGGACAGTCCTTAAATTTGTCAAAGACCTTTCATTAATACCACCTTGCTCTCCTCATGTGATCTGAAATCTGGGTATTAAGTTTGCTGACTTGGTGGTTTTCTCAAGTGTGTTGGTTGTGGGCCCAGCCCACATGAGCACTTTTGTTTGCAGTGTCAAAACTGCTTGCCTCGCATATGCATTATCATCTCTTTTTCTGTATAAGCATTTTTTGCTTTTGGGCCATTTTCGGTGTTTGTATTTGTCATTTGATATGCTGTATCAAGGTGTTTGATAGACTGTTTACTCCACATCATCTCTCTAAGTAGTCTGTATATCTTTTGCAATAACACTAGCAATAAGTAACACTGTTATTTGTACCATTTTTAAAAAATTTTATTATTCAATTTTATGTAACACACCTTGCCCTGCTGATTACAGTGGGCAGGAATAAGAACCTGAGCATGGAAATAGTGTTCATCTTGGAGCCAGCACTCTGTCAACCATGGCTTATGGATGGTACATTTTGCCCTCGTTTACTGGTGGAAATAATGCAAGAGCCTCTTCTTAAACTCTAATCATCCTTCCAAGAGCTGCCTTCAGTTAAACTTTTCACAAGTAACACATTTCTGTTACCCTGGCCCCTAACCAGATTTTTCCATGATGGCATATTTCTGTCACCTGGCTCTCAGCCAAATTTGATCATGAAGTGACAGTCATGTTACCTGGATCCAAGGGGTTAATAACATAAGATTTTTTTGTGAGGTCATTTAGGCCTACTAATCAACTCCTCTGTTGCTGTGCACACACACACAGCCATATAAATGTAAACACATTTCATAAAATACTACAGTGAACATTGCGTGTTCTGGCAGCAACAGATGAAATTGCTATAGTTGATGAATTTATTTGAAAACATTAAGGGGTCTGTCACACCCGATATCTCAAAACTACACCTTTATCAACATTTTTTTAATGTCTCCATAACTCCTTGGGTGATTCTAATATAGATTGGATCATTTGAAAGCTGAATAAATTTGCAATTTTTTACCCCAAGTGATTTTCATTTTAGTTTTTGTTTTTTATTCATAAGACAGAACATTTAGAAAAAAATCCCACTAAACTAAGAGGAAATTGCAAAATCAGACAGGGCAAGATTTATGTATTGCTATAAGAGTATGTGGTATTTTTTTCAACAATTTCAGTCAATGGATAAGTGCAACAAGAAAGTTTGTGTGTGTGTGTTTTTTAATAACTTTACTGTTTATTACCAAATGATGTGAAACTTGGTGGTGTAAATCTCAGTATATTTGTATATAACATATTAAAAAATCACGAAAATCTGATCATATATGATGAACTTCGTTCAAGAGCGTGACGGCCCCCTTAAATTTTTTTTTTGGATATATTAACTCTGAAGGATGATAATATATTTAAAGGTGAGAAAAATGTTACAGCAGTAACCTGAATAGAGTTGATATTTGTTATTCAGCTTCTGCTTTGATTCAGTATCTAACACACAGTGTGATGTTTTTAATGAAATGTATGTAACCCAGTAACTTAGAATTTGCACTTTTGACTGTGAGAGTTTACAAAAAAATTTGCCTAACCAATTCACAACAGAATGGCCCCATGCCCCATGGACCAGGCTTGACCACAAGTAGCATGAATACTTGACACCTAATGGGGCACAGTTTGCCATGATGTGATAAGACATCATCTGTTGTGAATGGGTTAAATGTACATAACAATTGGAAGAATTAATTTTGTTTACTCTTGGGTTATTTGTAGATTTTCCTGCATAGGAAAGGATTTTCAGTGCTTGTTTGTTTTCTCTGGAAATACTGTGTACTTGTTTTCACCATAATGTTTTATTTATTTATTATTATTTTTTTTTTTTTCATGACATTGTTTATCTTTAACTCAGTATGTATATTGATTTTCTTTTATGCCTTCTTTGAGTGTTTTTCCTTGCTGATAAGATGAGTGAATCAGACCACTTATTTAGTGATAACTGAAGATAATTTTATGAACAGGTGGAGGTCTTGGTGGAACGAGACGTGGAGGTCCAGACGTCAACATAAAGCATTCAGGCCGGGAAGATGATAGAAGGCGTGGTGGTGGACGGGATGAAGAACGCATGGAGTGAGTATCTTTTGACTTTGTTGTAGAATTTGTTCCCTTATTGATATTTGGCTCATTGAATATTAGGTATATTTATATTTGATTTTATTGGGAATTTGTTCATGTTTCTGTCTCTTTATCTTTCCAGAAGTGCAGATAGAGACCGTGAGAGAGATAGAGACCGTGAACGTGGTTCAGAAAGAAGGCGTTCCAGAAGTAGAGACAGAGATCGTGACCGTGAAAGGCGCAGGAGGTCACGAAGGTATGTAGCAGATTATTAACACAGTGTCGATGGGTAAAAATGTTTGGCAAGTGGAAGGGATTATTGGCGCGCATCGGCAGTTTCCCGTATGCACCTGGCTCGATTAGTAATTTGCGAGTGGCATTTTGCACCTAAAAGCTTTTATTTTGCTATAATTTATGGAAATATTATAATTTTGAAGGTTTACCGTCATTATAGGTGCCATTGCCTAAAATCTTTACCATATAAATGAAGCCGCTACTATCTCAGAAAAACAAACTCTGTCCAACGAGCCAGTGGCACAGGAATGGGCATGATACGATGCTATCCGTTTTTCGGTCCACAACAGCCATGGCATGTACGCACTTGCCACCCGTTGGGTAGGGGTGAATAATTTTAAAAGACCATTGTGTGGATAACTATACATGATCAGAAACTTGAAAACAAAATATATACTTGCATAGAGACCAGTAAACCACAAACTGCATGATATACTGTACACTCTTTAATAAACCTGTAAATTTCTACAGCCGTGATCGTAAGAGGAGACGCTCCCGATCCCGAGAGAGAGGAATGCCAGAGGAAGGAGAAGAGAGGGAGAAGCGCCGCCACAGGTCTCGGTCCAGGGATCGCAAACGTCGCTCAAGGTCACGTGACAGGAAGCATCGTAGGGACAGGTGAGTGAAGGAGAAAAAATCAGTGTTTACATTTGATAGTGCTCCAATTTCAGAATTATATATGTGCAGATTAGTAAATGATTCACAAAAAGTTGTTTCTAGATTCCCAGTTGTTCTGTTTGTATTCAGTCGCTTAGACATTTTTGTGACTGCATATATAATGTAGTGAACCTTTAAATTCTTTTGTAATTTATAGTGAAATGTGTCTTTCTTTTTCTAGGGACCGTGAGAGGAGGGAGCGGGTGCCTGGTGAAGAAGTTGAGGAAGGTGTTGTCAAAATCAAGCAAGAACCAGAGGATGGTAATGACATAACTTTCTTTGTTTTACACTTTGAAAAAAACTGGAAAAAAACAGTAAATAATATTTTAGAATTAACATTAAAAAGTTTCTTTGGTTTGTCACAAACATTGCTGAAAGGTATTTGCTCTTCTAATTTATCAAGCTATTTGATTTTATTATTCTTTCCAAATTGTCACTGTGATACTGGTATGAACTACTTTTACAAGTAGCTCATACCACCTTAGGTAGAAAGTGTCTACTGTTGTCTTGGGTTAATCATATGAAATTCTCTCCTCCTAACAGATTATCCAGATTATGGCAGTAACTATTACAATAATTACCCCATGAAAGATGAAGAAGAGAGGGCCAAGAATGGAACCAAGTATGAGGAGGAGGAAGAGGCCAACAATGAAATTGACTATTAGGCTGGAAATGTTTGTGATGTGGATTTAGGTTTGATTGCAGAGATGGAGTGATAAACACTTTGAACTAAGAAAGTTACTTGTATACACTGATGAAATTGGCTAGGCATGAATATTCACTTTGGAGAGGTTGTAACCTCCTTGTTTGATTACCAAAAAAAAGAAAAAAGAAAAAAAAGAATTGTTTACAAGTATACTGTGTTATGAATATTCATAGGGTGCTGATTTCCCCCCCTACATGTACAGGGTAGATAAATATTTATGGAGAGATTGTAATGTATATTTACATTACAAAAAGGTTTAGATAGCAAAAAGATGATTTTTACTGGATCTCTTCCCCCCTCCCTCTCCGATCCAATTGCATTTGACAATAGCACATTGTAGACATTTTTTATATTCTCATTGGAAAATGATGATTAGATAACTGTGTCAATAGCTATGTTGTATTTGTGTAACTAAAGTGTACAAACTTTTGACAAATGAGTAAAAATGTATCTAGTGCACAATATGTGCTTTTAAAGGATTATCTGTAGTACACAAGACTGACATGGTTCCATCAGTGTTTTTTAAGAACAATGCAAAATATATGGCTTGTGTAGGATTGATGGATTGTGTCTCCAGCGTTTAATTTCTGATTACATCACTTCAAATGTGATGGATAGCTTAGGCACAGATGAGCTGAGGTACAAATCCAATACTGCTTTTATGAAGCTCATCAGTCCATATTAACATTAGTCAGAATTTAGGCCTTCCATAGAATAAAGATGCTAAAGTCTTCTGGATTAATGTAGGAAATGGTGAAAGCAGACTTAGTTATTAAGCATTTTATTTTGTTATTACTTCTATCCTTCTTCATTTTACTTCTTAGACTGGAAAATTGTATAGGGAATTTAAACAAGTTTATGATTTTATTCATTATAGATACTGATCATTTCCATCAAGAAACTGAAAAAATACAATTTTTATTATTGAATAAACAACAAAAAGAAAAGCCAAGATGTTTGATAACCTATCTAAATAACAATATCTCTTGTGTATTTCTTTTCTACAGTACCAAGGAAACTAAAGGCACATATTGAAGTGAATGTTATCATCAATGTTGCCAGGTCATTTATGAATGATGTCTGGTAGATAGTACCTGTGTTGCTGTACATTTGTATAACTGGTGAAAGATATTGGTTGTCCTTCATAATAAAACAAGCTTTCCAACAGATAGGAAAACATGACTAGGGTACAGTGACATTATGTAATTAAGTACTTAGGGCACTTAATTTGAAGATTATGCTTAATTTTAAGTTCTCATTTGTCAAATAAAGTGTCATCATAGATGAGTAGTTTCTTTATCAGCATATTTTTAGTAACCAAAAAGGTACAACTTGGAAGTGGTAAGACACATGTTTGGATGCATACATGTTTAGATTATTAGAAGGCACTCAACTTCTTGCTAACTGGGTGAGGGGGCTGTCTGATGAAGAGCCCGTATGTTTCCAGTTATTCATATAAAAGAACTATCTTTTAAAAATTAATTTATTATTTTATAGACCATACAGTTGCACTTCTTTTAAGCACTAGTTTTAAAAATTATCACTCGGGCTAGAAACTTTAAAAAATTTCATTATTTTTTGTATGCTGTAGAAGGGCAAATAATTAGTATACATGTGCTCAAAAGTACATGAAAATAATATAATAGGTTTCCAAGTAAGACCTAATATACCACCAAAGGCAAAAGATTGCATATAGGATTTTTTAATTCCTTAAAAAGAAAAAAAATTACAGGGGTTTCCAATTGAAAAGTTCCAACAAAAGAAAGGTCTTGCATTATCCAGCTACATTGCTTGAAAAAAATATTTAGACAAAAAGCAGTTTGAAGTTTTAGCCATGCAACAAGAAAAAAACCCTCAAAATGTGTGCTTTACAAAGCAACTTGTAATCCAAAAGATGTATCTTTTCTAGAAACCTACACGTTTGGATTTCCTCCTAAATATATATACTATTTTGATAGGTAATTGATATATTAGTCACAGTGATATGGAAATTAATCATAATAACATGTTTGTAATACTTTTGGGAGTCCACTTAGCACATTTGGTTGTCAATCAAACTATGGAAATCAAATGCTAGACAGTTGATATATGGAGTGCCATTTTAGGTGTTTTTTTTATTTATTCTCTACAACTGTTACCTTGTAAATTTCATAGCACTTACAATTAAATTCCTTTCAGATTTTCTCTGGATTTTCCACAAACTTCTTCACTATTTCTCATCATATTTCACTTAAATCCATTAATAAATGGTATAAAGAGGTAGTAAGGATATATTTCAAATCACATCATTGTTGTGATATAAAGTTACAGTGCATGCATGTATCCAAATGAGGGAACATTTTGAAACAGTTACAGACTCTCTTACTTTGTGAAGGAATCATAGTTGAGCCTTCTGTTCATAAGATAATGTTTTCATGCATGCATGAGTATAAAACTGCCCTTAACTCAATTTTGGCCATGGGAGCCTATGTCTGTCTAGATAGTCCCCTTGTGTAGGACTGTGCTTTGCAGAGAAAAGCTTGAAAGGGAGTAGAATTGCTGCTTTCCATGCAAGTTCAGTGACAAAGTAAGTACACTTATCCTTTACTTCTCTACTACTTTGGGTCTCAGCCCTCGGTGCAACCAATTTTTGCATGGTACTTTCTTTTCCCCCTTTCCGTTTCCTTCTCTTTTCTAATTCCTAGGGTGTAAGGCTGGCATCGTATCAGTCCTGAATGGTCTTACTGAGCCATTTGCACAGTATTCCCTTGATTAATCATTTAGCACTTACCCCTGATGGGAAACCACTGAAGGGTACACTATTTCTCTTCCCCATAATATTTCAGGCTTGCCATGGCCAATACTGAAGAGTTTGTACCCTTATTAGGGCCAATAAGGCTTACCCCTTGCCCCATTGTTTCTCAGACCTCCCCACCCAACACCCCTCTAGAAACTCTTGAGGACTTCCAAAACTTTCTAAACATGACCCAAGAGAGTGCCTCTCTCTCTTATCAACCTTCCAATCTCTCTACGTGCATTATTATTATTTTTATTATTTATTTCTGCCCTGTCAACGTCAAATTTCATTAGTGATGTATTCAAAATATAGTGACAAGGCGAGGTTTGCGGGTGATGCCTTTACGTAAGGAAAGGTCATAAAGGATTATGAGTGTGGTGAAAAGTTTAAAAATCAGTAAAAGAATAGGACAAAACATGTTAGATGTCAAAGGCTGTAGAGTGCTACAGGTTAGTATGGTAGTGAAAAGAGCAAATGGAGTACGAAAGCCGATCAGAACTGATACAAAGCATGCCTTTCATCCTTTCAGCATGGCTCACACTTTAGGATGTGGACGGAAGAAGGGGATGAAGAAGAAAAGGAAACGAAAAGACCATGTAAAATTAGTTTAAGGCAAGGGTTGAGGTTACCTTAGACCTGTCTCTGTGTCCAAAGCTCCCCCACAACAAGAAGCAAGGGATTGGTGGGGTCTACTCCCATTCCCTCTACATTCAAAATGACTTCATCCATCCATACTCATTCTCCTCATATTCCCCCTACTACTCTTCATCCCCTTCTCTATCTACACCCCCCCCCCTTCTATTCCCATTATCCCTTCTGCTCCTTCCTGGATGCTCTGATGACTCCTTTTTGTCACTGTAGCATCTTCCCCTGGATCCTTCCTCACTTCATGTTCTTCCTGATACTTCTCCTCTTACTTCAATGACACCCATCTCTACCCTTATCACACACTGATACACAAGTATTAGTACATGTATTACTGTAAGTGTTTCTTGTAATATGTGTTAAAATATAATAATGACACCAATAATAAAAACACAAATACTTTTATACTTTTTTGTTTTAAAACATTAGCCCATTGGATCCGGTTGCATCACAGAAATCTGTGCTGAAAATATGAGCAGTGGGTTTCTTAAGTAGCCTATATCCCGAGCATGTGGTGCGTAGGCCGGGTGTGCACAAACACCAATAGGCGGTGACAAAACTGTGCCTCCCCTTCGTAAAGTTATTTTGTGTTATCTTTTTTAGCCTTTTTGTCATTTTCAAATGTCCATATCCGTAATTGTCTTTTGTTTTGCATTATTCAGATGGCAATACCTTATTTTCCTTGCACAGTCTCCATATCATCTCTCTATGTAGTAAATTACTCAGTGCAAAAAGAGAGAGGAAAATTTGGTCACATGTGTCATATATCTCATTTTTAAATTTTTTTCAAATTTCCCTGATACAACCTGCATTGCCGGTCACAGTGGCCAGGAATATGGTACACAGCATGGAAATGGCATCCTCCCTGGAGCAGGAACTCTTCCAGTCACAGCTTACGCATGTTACATCCCACATTCATTTATCGATGGGAATAATGCTAAAGCACCCTTCTAAGCGCCAAATGAGTCAAATCACACTCCAAGAGGTTTGCACACTCTTGGCAAGTCTTTGCCATCACCTTGGCCTTTGCTAAAGATGAAAAATTGGCCCGTGGCTATTTTGCCATATGACAACATGTTCGTGTTACCCAGCCCTTGACCCAGATTTTTCCATGACGGGAACATAACATCGTCCAGATTGTAGGGGTTAATGAAATATTCACGAGTTTATGTAAACTTCATTATTAAAGCTGTAATATATTTTTTCTTCTATTCTGGATGTTTGTATGAGTTATAATTCATTACAAATTGATTTAAGACATAAAATTGTTAAAATACCTTTCCAATCACCCCTCACTTCTTTAGCTCTTCCAGATGTTACTGTCCCATTCCAAACACTCCTCTTTACAACACCTGTTTAAGCATTGCAATTCTAGACTAACTCTTTATGCAACACCAAACCATTTCATTATATATTTGCATCCTCTAACAATGTCTAAATCAAATCACCTACATTCTCTACAGGTAATATTGAAAAAATTAATATATAAAGTTGAAGAAAAAAAAATAAAAATAAAAAGAAAGTAAGAAAGAAAGAAAAAAAGAGAGAAAAAGAAAAAAGAAAGAAAGAGAATGAAAGAAAGCAAGGAAGACAAAACAAACATACAGCATAGAATTCCTTGTGCATAATTTGAAACCTTGAATGTTGTTGGGGAAAATTTGGCCTAATACCATTTGAAATTGTTGTTTTTACTGAGATGATAATACTACAATATAGTAACAAAACATCTTATTCAGGAATTATCATTGCTGTCGTGAAATGTGGTACTGTATGAGGAACAAAAAACATTTACAAGAAATATGTTTTAATATATATAATTCATGATATATACTGAGCATGGCGAAAATAGCAACTAAAAGTGTATGTACAACAAAGACATATGGCTGAAGGCACAGCAGTTAAGGTAATGGTAATGAAGGCAATCTATGAACTACTGCAGCTCTTTCACTGTAAGCTATTCTAATTTTGCATAGGCACAATGCTAAGTG